CCAGTTGGAAAGAACCTACGAGGATCATCTAGTCCAGCTGCCTGACCACTTGTGAGCTGACCAAAAGTCAAAGCATGTTGTGAAGGGCATTGTCCAAATGGCTCTTAAACACCGACAGGCTTGGGACATCAACCACCTCTCTAGGAAGCCTGTTTTGGTGTCTGCCCACCCTCTCAGTAAAGAAATATTTCCTAGAATCTAACCTGAACCTCCTCTGATGCAGCTTTGAGCCATGGTTATGAAGAGAGTGGGTATGGAAGTTAAAGCACCATAGAAAGGGCATCAGTAGGGGACAAGGGTATGGAGGAGCACAAGGGATGTGAGGTCTGTGGGTCAGTAGAGAGTATCGCCTCTGGGATGGAGGTCCCGAGGCCTTGGTGGGCATCATGAAGCAGTGAAGAATGCAGAGTTAGTTATTCACTGCCTGGGGTAAGGAGGATCGTAGGGGCACTCGAACCTTGGCGTCTTGTGCACACAGATATTTATAGCACACCCTGGCAGGGGTAAGGGTGTTGGTCTGACGCAGCGCAGGGTGCACAGGGGTGATGGTGCTGTGGAGAGGCAGAAATATCAGTGACACAAGGTGCTGCAAGCGTTCCGGTTTATCAGCACCGTGGCGATGCCGTGCGCTGGGGTTTATTGATGCTGTAGCACTGGTACCACAGAGATCCTCAATCCCCTGCGTGAGGGTCATGGGGCCTTCCATGGGACTGGGGACAACTGTGAGAAGACTGATGCGCTAGTGGGGAACACTGCCAATACCCTACAGGCAGAGCAGAGGTGTTGCCTGAGGGCAGGGCCTCACTGTGCGACGTGCAGGTGACAAATGAGGAGGGCTGGATGATAGCAGTGCTTTGCAGCTTGGGGGTGAGGGGGAGCTAGAGGGAAAGGAGGAGCACAGTATTGGCCTTCTTGCTGTAAATCATTGCAAATGTGCACTTAGCCTCCTGCCCTTCTCCTCTTGCCATCTTTTTAGGTGTCCCCCTACATCTGAGGATCCGTTTCACATTATCTTTCCCACCCAGAGCTATCCTCTTGAATTTTTCCATTTTGAATGCCCTATAGTTTGGCCTACATTCTAGATTGTTTTTCTGTTACTGCTGTTTAAAGCATTTCTCCCATAGCATCAATCATCACGCTGTTTATTGCCGACATAACAATTTACAATAAAAATTACTTTCCTGCCTGTGCTTGAGACTGATTCAGTTAAATTCTGTTTATTCACAACTGAGCTCCTCGACTGTGCCATTGTCGTCATGTGGATTAATGTGATTAGGTTCTTCCTCTGCAAAGTGCATCCTTAAACCTCAGCGTGCACCAGGATCTGCTGAACCACGAGGGCTTACTGCTAGAGAGACGTGGTCAAAAACCTTAATAAAGCAGGTCTGCTTCTGAAGGACTTGTTTGGAGTATGGTTTGCACAAACCTCCGGAATGCCATTCCAGAGGGTTAAACAGAGATTAACCCAGCTAAAGGAAATTATTCCAATGCCCTTAGTTAATATGATACGATCATTATGTATTGTTAATCTTTCTTAAATGCAATCGCATTTTTTTTAAACCAGGGGCTAGACCCAACTTGTACTGAAGGCAGTGAAAGTATTTCCATTGGCTTCAGCAGGATTTCCTTCTTGAGATTCTCTCACTGCTAGACAACACCGTCCGTGTTTCCTGCGCTGGGAAATTACGTATACCTTCTTCATGCATCTCAAAAAGCACAAATTTCGTAATGATCCCTGCTCGTTATATCCTTTCATTCAAACTGTGAACCATTCCTGTGTACTCTCTGCCTGTAGTAACCCAGGAAGTTTAACTCTTTTAATATTTGCCCTCTGCCAGGCTCACCCGCTCTCTTCAAACTGTGTAAGATAACTGCTTTGAAACATCTGGACATCTCCAACCAGCTCGGTGTGAAGTTAATCACACATCTTGCAAACACTGTATGTAACTCACAAACCTTCATCTTTCCCCCAGATCCCTTTTGCACTGGTATTTACCATGCCTGCCCACCTGCTCCTACATTGCCTTTTTATTTTTCCTAGCAGAAGGATAATGGATAATTTTTTTGGCATCTTGTGTCAATAGCTTTTCCTTTTTGGGTAGTGAACCAACATTTTCCTTATATATATATATATATATATTTAAAATTTGATTTCTTGTTAACCTCACATCTCTTGCTGGTTGACTGTTTTCAGATCAGCTGAGCTTGATGAATTTTCATCCCAGAATACGTGAAGAACAAGCTGGAGCAATCTCTGGAATGTTATTTGGGCAGCCAGTCCAAAGATAACAACTATTACAGAAGAAAAGTGGGGCCCTGGCTAAACAGCCTGGCAATCACTGGACTGCACAGTACACCAGCTGCTTTTTAATGCGTACTGAGCAAGCTGCTGCCACCTCAGTATCACATCATAGATTAACTCTGATCAGAGTTACTCTAGGCTCTTGAAGAAGCCAGATTATCTGTTAATCCTGCCAGGGATAGGGACTTCAGGGTGAGGACAAGAAACACAGTTTTTCCTTTGGGGAACAGGCAGCTGAACTGTAGTTGGTAAAGCAAGTCTTTTCTTAGGAGGCTTGCATTCCAAGTTTTTAGCCTAGCTGCATGCTACAGGTGAAGTGCTTCTATATTTTCTAACACTTTTGGCTCCTCTGATGCATCCCATGAAATCCAAAGCCACCTGATAAGTAAGCACACCGAGTCCCAGCGTGTACAACGTGCCTTTGAGGAACCCGCAGCGTGCTCTAAAGTGACGCCGCGCAGTCCTGACTTCACCAAAGAATTCCTCCTGCAAACACACACCGCTGAGGCTGGCCTTGGGGTTGTCTCCCTCCCCTCATCGTGATTTTGAGTGTAGCTGGGGACATGAGGAGCAGAGCGGACGGTGGTAGTGTGACAGTGCTAGCAAAGGGGTGGCGAGGGAGGAGTGGCAGGCTGGCACATCGTGTACAATGTTAAAATATTTGGCTTATACTCACCTTTGTGCCTGATGATACCTTGCTTTTGCAGCCCTATTTGCGCATCGTGCTCGAACATCAAGTGCAATTTGAGAAGTTTCATGGCATGGGCAGCTGGGAATATGACTTCTGCCAGGTGTGCTGTGAGCCACGTTTTTGGCACAGAAGGCGAAGAGGGTCCAGAGGCACAACTGCCTCTTTGGGCAACGAGCTGCAAACATGCCAGCTCGTGGAGATGCTTTGTGAACGCAGCACCAAGAAAGCGTAGGGAAACGGGAACATGAATCCAGGCTTGGGAGTGTGCTGCAGCGACAACTGATGGTTTTGTGACTAATGGAGAAGGTTGTCCCTGAAAAACAGGACATGGTTGCCTGAACCTGTTTTTTTGGCAGTGGAACTGTTTCTCTAGCTTGTAATGTTGTATTTCTGTGCCTCGAAAAGGGCAGGGGCCTTGCAGAAAAACAAAACCAAACCAAACCAACCCAGTAAGTGATCCCATCGTAATGTGTATCCCAAATGCAGTTGCACAAGAAGCCTCTAACATTGGCCAGCTACAGAATGTGAGAGTTTGAAACCTTAGTAAGTCTTTTAACTTTTGGTGGCTTCTCTCTGGGAAGTTAAAATTGCAGTATGCAGACAATGAGTTATTTAAGGATCTTTAGGAAAAAAAAAAAAAAAGAACTCAGACTCTTGTAATGAACTTATTTCCTAACCATGGACCATATTACATCACCAGATGCAGAGAGATATATAACAGATTTTTCTTTTTTTTTTTTTTTCTTTATTTTCCTTTGATTCTGTAATAACTTAGGAAGGAAAGGGAAGAAAAACTAATCTAAAAGGTGATGTACCCAGACAGATCCTGCAGTGGGTTTTGAAGATTAATCTTCCATTAATATAGACAGGAATTGTGCCTGAGTAAGGAATGGGGGACTGAGCTTTCATGAAGATGTGTCTTGTGAGCCTCAGAGCTGTATTAGCTAGAAAAGTCCTTTTTCTGGGTGGGTTTTGAAGTGCTTGGGTTCAGGGTAGGCTGGCAACACAATACTGGAGTTACTTAGTGGATCTGCCTTTTCTTTTCTTCCAAAAGTCCTATTATTCATTTTGTCACCGTGAAGCTTTAAAGCGATCTGTTTACAGAAAAATTGCCTAATAACTATATGCAGAGAACAGAGATATTTTTTTAATGTGGTAAAGAAATGACTTGGTTTTCAGGCTGCTGCAGCTTAAGCCTGCAGTCTGGAAATTGGATGCCTGAGGTGAGCAATGACATCCTTCTGAATCCAGCTGCAGGATAGAAAATGAAGGAAAAAAAAGCTTTTCCTATGTTTGGGCAAGAATTTATGAAGAAATTACTTTGTCTGAACAAAGTCCAGTTACAGGGTGTCACAAAAAGGAAGGGAAAATTTTGTTAAATGTCTGATTTACTTCACGTAGAAATTTTTGTCTAAAAGAGCAGCACAGGCAGTCCAAACCATCAAAACCAATCTGCCTAACGCAGGACCCTGAGAGATTTCAGTCAATTCTGAACCATTTTGGATTTCATTCTTTCAGTTAAGTGTTACAGAAACAAATTGGTCCTTTGAGACTTGGCATTATATGCCCATCAAAATCAGTAAAAACCTAGCTAGTGTCACTTAAGTAGATGTACAAATTATCTCCATTTTTTAGTGTCAGCAATTGGAAAGAGAAATTTCATGTACTTTCTAGCTTGCTGCAAATACCCTGTTGTGATCATTCATGCAGCAAAAATCAAAGGCATATTCAATAATAATTGTGATGGGGAAGATCTACTTAAGTATTTACATAACATTAGTGCCCTGAGGTTCCATCAGGAAATCTGGCCTTTAATGTCACTGTTACTGTGAGTACATAAAATAAAAGCCATTACTCTAACTGATTTTCAGATAATTTTACTTGTATCATTGCTATGCTGTGAAATCATTGGCTTCTTTCTTAAACTTATTTGCTTTTCACTAACGTGCTATAATGGAGTGGCACAGAGATATAACGTTGGTCTTTGTGCTGTTCAATTTTGCAGCCATAGGTGCTGCTGAGACATCAGAGGACCCACCATCACCCACACCTATGGCATTTGCAGCTCCTAGAAACATGGACGGCCCCAAGCTACAGACCAAGATGAGCACATGGACTCCACTGAATCATCAGCTCATGAATGACAAGGTAAGTTCTGTGCGAATGGGTCAAATTCATAAAATCACAGTACTGTTGAGGTCGGAAGGGACTTCTGGAGAACATCTAGTCCAGCCCCTCAAGGCAGTGTCAGCTAGAGAGTTTGCTCAGGATCTTGTCTGGTCAGATTTTGAATATTCTCAAATCTGAAGGCAGATTCTCGGGTTCACTTCACAGATTCTCAAGCCTCAGAAAAATTTAACTTATGCTTTTGCCTGTGTAGATCATAAGTAATAGAACAAGAACGTAAAGATTTTGTTTACTATTAGAAGTATGTATGTATCAAACACACATACTGTCTTTATATATATATACAGATATATATATGTAAAAACTGAAAGTTCTAATGTATGTAGTTTAAAGCATACAAGTATTTAGTTCAAGTATTGATATTTTGCCAAATTAGTTGCCTTTAAACAAAAAATGTGTATTCATTTCTTAGTGAAAGATGCCGAATCATTGATTTTTTTGCAGCAGAAGACTTCAGTTTAACCCCAGAGCAAACTGAGTGTCAATGTAGGTGTCTGAGTGGGTGATGTCCTCCATCTCAGTGCGTAGGAAAGGTTTTAATACCCCTGCTCTGGCTTCTCTGCTAAACCTGGCACTGACGAGGCATGCTTGATATTTGGGAAACCAAAGTGATGCATTCAATTTATAAATAACGAGATGCATTTCCTAACCTCCCACTCTGTATACTATATCTGGGAGCTGCTAACATAACTGAGGGGTTTTTGGCTCCTGCATCACCAGGAGCATATTCCTCCTTCAGAAGTCAGTTTAAATTTCTGTTGATGATTCATAGAATTTAATCCAGAATGGGCCATTACATCATGTAGCCTGGCTTCCTGGAGTCTTTGGGCCCTCTTGTTTCAGACAGTTCTCCTGGTCTTGAGCTCAGTAACTGGAATTTGGCTAAAACATATCTTCCATTAAGGTATCCAGACTTCCTTTGGGGTTAAGTACCTTCATTCCTTATAAAATGAAAATTTCATCACTTCCCTAATAATTTTCACATGATTAATCCCCTGTACCATGAAAAGATGAAACCTTGTCTCCTGTCTAAATACTTCTAGCATTAGCTTCCATCATTTAAATCTTCTCGTCCAAGCTTATTAAACTCTTCTGTAATCAGTATTTTTTCCTTGTGGAAGGACTTTTACCCTGCTTCAAGCCAACACTTGAATTTTTTTGATAAACTAAACAGATTGAGCTCTTTGAAGTCCTTTCAATCTGGCATCTTCTCCAGCCTTTGAATCATTTTAATGTCTGTTTCCTACACCCCATAAAACATATTTTTTACAGATGCACATCACTGTGCAATAAAGTATGATCTAACTAGCAATAAGTGTGTGGGTAAAAACACCCTTTCCCAACTTCTTATTCCCCTGCTCCTTAGGCAGTCTGATGTTCTATTGGGCTGCAGCAAAACTTTTATGTGCTCGTATTGGATCATTGTATACTCCAATGCTTAATGATGTTCCAGGTAGGAAAGAACATACCATAAGCTCCCAGACCTGTGCTCAGTGATGAAATTCATGATTAAAAGTGTTTGCTTGTTTCTGATCCAGGTTTTACAGCATCGATCTGCCTGAAACTCCATTTTGTTTATCACTATATTGCTCTGCAGTGTTAGCAGGAAAAAAAATAGTTGCAACAAAAGTATTGCTGACAGCTGAAATCAGGAGATAATCCAACTGCTATATGTAAGGTGCTAGTGAGCGAGAAGGCGCCGTTTTCATACAGTCATCTCTGTTCATTTCTGCACTCTTGAGTTAAGGGAAAGCATGAAGAGAGAAAAGCATTTCTAGGTAGAAGGTATGTGGAAAACAGTGAGGAGATGAAAGCACAGAGAGAAGAGTTGCTTAAGAAATGTACTTGTTAGTAGAACAGGCAATGAAGGGCAGGAGTGGTGGGAATTCAGAGCTGATCCGAGGCAGAAGCATTTAAGCTCCATCTAAACCATTGTTGGGAGCAGACCTGAGAGCAGTTAGCGATATAAATGTGCTACCTGTCTAATTTTGGGTAATCCTGGTGGTACTGCATTAACAGTTCTGTAGATTTCCCTGGATTCTCAAACATCCCCAAGAGTACACTTGTCTGTACTGTTGGTAGGACCCAGTTCTCTCCTGCCTGTTGTACATCCCGAGTCCTGCTGCCTCCATCTATGGTTTTCTGCCCTTAGCAGCAGCTGTTAGAACAGGAAAGACTATCCGGGTGCTACTAATGGGACACAGACAGTCATGATTGTTTTAAAGCCAGTATCACCATCAAGGACAGACCAAGAAGCCAGAATGACAAAACCTCCAGTTATGCAGCATTCATGGTCAGAAAACCAGAGGTGGAGTCTTAGATATGCCAAGGTTGTGCCACACTTAAGGATGACGTAAAGGTCGGAGGCAGGGCAGCCTCCTCACCCGCAGCAAAAGCAGACAGAGTTCAGCATCAGTCCTGCTTTAAGGAAGGACTGGAAGTCAGGAGATGATTTGCCTTCTGCTGGGCAGCAATTCAGGTGTGGGGTAGAAGAGCCTCCAGTGGCATTTGCAGCAAGGGGTGGAGGGATTTGCCAGACAGCCTTGAACTTGAGCTTATTTAAAACCACCTGGAGACATGGATGTGAGATGGTAGATCTCAGGAGCAACCTAGGCCTCAGGCTGTGTTCAAAGCCAGCCAGCTTAGGCACACTGCAGGTGTAACTCCAAGGCCTCGGAGGAGAGGGCAGTAAACATGGGCTTGATTAAGGCAGTGGATGATTATACCAATTCTGGGCCATTCTGTTGCTAATTAATGCTTCCAAGTGCCTGGAGTAGGCAGAACTTTCTGACAGAGTTGGCTCAGATGTATCTCCAAGAATGCTGAAAGCAAATATGTGTCTTTCTTTGATCAAAGACCATTAACATTGCTTCCAGTTATATATCTCCCTGCTCCCCTTGAATTCTCCAACCCAAAACTTAGATCTTTGACTATTCATCACTTGCTTGTGGCAAATCCTTTTCCAAGTTCAGCTTGTTAGGTTTTATTGTTGTTTTTTTTTTCACTTTGCCAAGTGTCCCACATGCAAATAAAGCAAATAATAACTGTCAACGTACAAATAAAAGAAATGTCATTTTCCACCCCTCACAAGAGACACTCCTGCTGCGAGAGACAGAGCTAAGGCTGTCAGCTGCTGTACCACTGCAGCACTGATAATGTCTTTCTCCGCAGGAACCTTCTTTGCAGGCTGTCATAGTAATAACATGTTTGGAGTTTATAATGATCAAGCATGTTTTCCTAGTTGTGGTTAATAGCTGTTTTTATGTGCAGTTATAAGCTGGGCTTTTTCCTCTTTGATCTGTCTTCTGGAAGAATCATGTGCGGCATTTCCTCTCTTCCCAGGTCACAGTCCTGAGTAGAGAAGGCAGTTTTGTGGTAGAGGGAAGCCACGTGCTAGTGCTTTCAGGGCTAGCTCCCTATGGATAAAGGTCAACGTCATAAATCTTCTGCTGTATTTTGATACTGATCATCCTTCTTGTTTAGGTGTCACTGAAAAGTGCCCAGGGAACAAAGACTGGTCTTACAATCTTACTCCTAACAGTCTTGCTACGTTAAGATTGAAGCGGTCACCAGGGCTGTGTGAGAGCAACCCATGTTGTATCCATTCTAGGAGGTTTCAGGCACCCAATGTCTCCAACTCGGGAGAACTGAAATTTCTTAAAATGAAGAGGTGGGAAGCCCAGCTTCTGGTCTCATCAAAGCACAGGAGACACCACACATCACTGTATGCCCGGGAGAGTAGAGCGCTATGTTGGCACATCGTGTGTGCAGCAGCTGCAAAGAAGAGAGCTGGAGATGAGAAGCAGCACATTGCAGCAAGTCTGCCGAGTTCTCCTTCACTGTCGTGCACGCATAGCCCTTGAACTTTAGGGTGTGAAAGGAGCCTTCCTTTTCTTGAAGGCCCTCCTCTTCTTGAAGAAGATCAGAAAGAAGTAGATGAGGGCTTCCTCAGACAACTGGAAGAAACCTCATGTTCACAGGCCCTGGTCCTCATGGAGAACTTTAACCCCCCTGATATCTACTGGAAGGGCAATACAGCAGGGCACAGGCAATCCAGGAGGTTTCCGGAGTGCATTGATGACAACTTTCTGATGCAGGTCATCAAGGAACCAACAAGAGATGTTCTGTTGGACCTCAAAGAAGGAAGGCCTGGTTGGGGACGTGAAGGTCATGGACAGTGTTGGTGGCAGTGACCAGGAGATGATGGAGTTCAGGATGCTGAGAGGAAAGAGCAAGACAAATAGCAAGATCACAACCCTGGTCTTGAGGAGAGCAGACTTTTACCTTTTCAGAGATCTGTGTGGAAGAATCACATAGGATGTGGTCCTGGAGAGAAGAGAGGTCCTGGAAAACTGACTGATTTTCAGACTTTAGTAAGGCTTTCAATACTGTCTGCCATAACATCCTCATAGAGAAGCTGATGAAGTCCCAATGGAGAGAGAAGTGGATTGAAAACTGACTGACTTACTGACCTTAAAGGATTGTCAGCAGCAGCATGAAATTCAGCTGGAGGCCAACCACTGGTGGAGTATGCCAGAGGTCAACACTGGGGCCAGGATCATTTAAAATCTTCATTAACAATTTGGATGATGGGGCAGAGTGCACATTCAGCAAGTTTGCAGATGATACATAATTGGGAAGAGTAGTTGATTGACCAGATGTTTGTGCTCTCATAAATCATAGAATCATAGAACAGACAGGTTGGAAGGGACCTGAAAAGAGCATCTGGTCGACCCTTTTGTGGGAAAGGGAGCCTAGATGAGATTATCTAGCCTCCTGTCCAATTGTGTCTTGAAAACCTCCAGCGATGGGGACTCTACCACATCCCTGACCAGATTGGTCCAACCTTGACAGGCTGGAAAAATGAACTGAGTGTTTAGAGAGCAGCTTGGGAGAGAATGACCTGGGGGTCCTGGTGGATACCAAGTTAACCATGAGCCAGCAAAGAAGGCCACTGTCATCCTGGGCTACATTAGGAAGAGGATAGGTGGCAGGTCAAGGGAGGTGATCCTTCCTCTCTGCGGCACTGGTGAGGACACATCTGGAATGCTGTGTCCGTTTCTGAGCTCCTCAGTACAAGAAAGACATGGACTTTCTGGAACAAAGCCAGCGTAGGGCTGCAAAAACGATTGAGGAATCGGAGAATCTGATGTATAGGGAAGGGTTGACAGATCCGAGGTGGTTCAGCCTAGAGAAAAGAGGCTCATGGAGGACCTGATCAATGCATATAGATATCTGATGGGAGGGGTAAAGACAGAGCCAGACTATTCTTAGTGGCATCCAGTGAAAAGACAAGAGGTAATAGCCACAAATCAAAATACAGGAAATTCCATTTAAAGAGATGAAAAAATGTTCTTACTGTGAGGGTGTAACAAGGTGCCACAGAAGTTATGGAGTCTCCATCCAAGGCAACATTCAAAACCTATCTAGATGTGACCCTGAGAAACCTGCTTTAGTTGACCCTAGCAGGGAGTTTGGACTAAAGGATCTCCACAGGTTTCTTCTAAACTCTTCCATTCAGTGATTCTGTTTATATTTTGTAGATTGTTTTATTGCTTTTCAAGTTGTACTTTTCTTAGCACATATTGAATCCTCTTTAAATATCCCATTTTATTTGTGTGTGTATGTATTATAGGTATTTGAAGAAAGAAGAGCCCTGCTTGGAAAATGGGTAAACTTTTCTCTTTAAATATATATTTAAATACAACTTGATTTCTACCTGACCAAGAGATTGTTATAATGGGAATGTAAAATCCATCCTATTTTGAAAAAGGGATTAATTTTCGTGATGTGAAAGTGAGCTGTAACTGCTCTACTTTTGAGGAAGGTAAAGGTGTAAATTCCCTCAGTGCCCACATTCTGTAGGCTCTGAACCTGGGAAATCATATTCCATCATCAGAATGATCTGAAATGGGATAAGAAACCCTGGGAAAAGTCTGTGAAGTCTTCAAAGACAGTACTGGATATTTAGGTATTGCCATTGCCTGCTAGAAGGTCTTTGAAACCTGGAATAAATGACATGTTATCTACCAAGTGCACACATATGGCTCCTAATACTGTAATCACTGAGCACCTCACAATTTGGTACTGTCATTATTTTCACAGCTCCAACATGAGACATGAAAGTGCTGTCACCCTTTTGTGGATGAAAAAATGAGGCACAGAAAGACATGAGATGGAATTTCTCTGCCCCAACCACAAATGACTGAAAGTTAGGCATTCGGGATGGGGTTTCTCTGGATGGGTGTGTATGTCTGAAACATAATATTTTAGCCTGGCTGCTCTGGTCATCACAGGGTCCTTGAAGAGAGAAAGCAGTACTTCACTCTACTTAATGTAGGATGAAGGCTCAGCCCTCTAGTGATGCCTCTTTCTTTCCATAGCTTATGAAGGGAATCGTAGCTGGCCGCTTGAAACGCATCCAACTCTAACTGGCCTACCCAGGAAGCCGATGGCAGAGCACGCAATGGCACAAGATTTGCCCTAGTCCTAAAATCACCTTCAGTATCTCATTGTGCTTTCTCTTTGACACGCCAAAATCCATTTACAGGCCATTACAGGAAGGCAGCTGCAATCTGCTCAGTCTCCTGTGCAAACAGGAATGCAGACCCAGGGACTTCATTGCAATAAACGAGTGAATTCAGTGAATGTATTAATGTGGCTCAGTAGTAACTCTATGGTTGGGCCCTGTGCACATCTTTTTAAATGAAACCAAAGGACCAGTTATGTGGTCACATGTGATACCAAGCTAAACAGAAATACAGATATGATGCTCCTTATCAGCACTCTTTGATAAAGAGGATTTGCACAGTAACTTTATTTGAACTACGATGCTTATTCTTTATGCTGAATAGGTCACTCGTGGAAATTTTTTGCCTGTGAACTGGTCTTTACAGACAAGTATTTTATTTTAAGCTCATGAGGATTATTTACCTTTATAGGAAATATGCTTTCCATAACTTGTTGACATGCATGCATTTTGATAATCAGGAATTTCATGGACATCAAGAAAAAAACATTTTTTTGAATTATTATTGTTCAAAAAACCACCTTTTAGCATGGTAGCCAGTAACTAACAGACTTAAAACCTGTCTCTTGAAAATCGTTGGGTGTTTTTAAATGCCCATGGGATGTGCTGGCAGAAGGACAAAAATGTTTTCATTAGAACCCCCAGTGAAAGAGCCAAAATCTGGAAACAGCCTTCCCCCAAACACACATGAGTGCTGAATCGTCTCCTGAAAGGTTACATTTCTGACCCTCCGTATGACACTAGATCAGTAGCTCTCACCACGCTCCTTCAGATCTAATTCTCCTTGCACTTCTGTCATCCATCAAACCCATGAAAACAGGGCAGAAAGCACAAAAGCTGCTCTTCACTCCCTTCAAAGCCTGTGGCATTATAATATCTGGTATGCAAAGCCTAGAGCACTCTGAGCTTGAGAGAAACTCTGTCCAGAAATCACAGTGCTCTGGGCAGGAGTTTTTATGTTGATTCACATGACCTGCTCGAAGTGCTCTCAGGAAGCATGGCCTGGATAAAACTGCCGAAGGGTGGGTTTGTACGGCCGGGAACCCACATTCAGTGTAGTTGTAAATGCTTTGTTAGGAAACTGCAAGGCTGAAGTCTGTCCTAAGTCCAGAACTGTTAAGCGTTTTCAGCAATATCTGGATGATGGAACGGGAAATCTGCAGATGATAACCAGGCTTGGAGAGATTTCACGAACTTTGGAGACTGGAAATCTGAATGAAATGATCTGTGGTTTGATAAGGACAAGTGAAAAGTGCTGCATGTAAGAATGACACTTGCAAAAACTGCAGATCTGAGAAAACCCAAGTGTGCAGCCGTTCTGAATAAAAAATTCCTGGGAATTATGGTGGATCACAAAGTGACGGTAAGCTGACAGTGCCTTATAATTGTAATGCAGGGAAATATCCCCAAGGGCTGGCTGAAGGGCAGAGCCATCCCCAGTTCTGGCCCCTGCGTTCTGAGAAATCTGAGGACAAACTGGAGATGCTTCTGAGAACTAGTCATATGTGAGAACAGTCTTAGGTCCAGAAAATATGAAAACAATCCCTTTGCTGTAGGGAAGATGGAGAAAAGACATAATACCATCTTTCCAATGGCACACAAGATGTCTGAAAAGAGGAAGGGAATGATCTGATCTCTGCGTTCTCACTGGATAGGACAAGAAGTCATGGGCTTGAATTGCAGTGATGGAGACACAGTTTAGACAGCAGCAAAAGCCAGTGCTACAGATAATTCACTGCCCAAGTAGCTTGCCTAGGGGTTAGGGCTGGAATCTCCATTGCTGGAGTCTTCTGAGGACAGGTTAGATAAACACTTGTCAGGAATGGTTTAGGTAGAGTGGATCTTGCCTTGTGGCAGGAGATGAACTAGCTCAGTGTTTCTCAACCTTTTTTACACCAAAGGGCCACCCGACCTGCTGGGAGAGCAGAACAGTTTGCCTTGTGCAGCATTGCCACAGTGGTTTTCCTTTACAGCCAAATACAGATTAGATTAAAATTTGGATGCTTGTTGTTTTTTTTTTTCTTCTTCCTGATTTTATTTGCATGCATTCAGGGACTTGTGTATGTGCATTTTCATTTAGTTATTTTTTCCCCCAATTATGCCACAGAACATCTTTGATGTCTCCCAGACTGTTGTAGACCATAAAACACAGGTTGAGAAACGATGAACTAGCTGACCTGAGGGATTTTATTTCTCTGTTTGTGCACTGCTGGGCAGCTCCAGCGGGCATGGCACTGGCTGCGCTGTCACCTGCAGTATCCAAAATGCGTGATGGGACCCTCTACATTTTTTTGGCTGTCTCAGATTGTGCTCAGCTCTGCAAAGTGTTATTGCTGCACAGAGTAGAAGCAGTGGTGGTGTGTCGTGTCTTACGTGGCTGTTCCCATGCACGAGTATTTGCAGGCTTTGATCCTGCTGGAGGCATTTGTGATGAATTTCCTTCACACCAACTCCCTTACCCAAACACTATCTAGATAGTTATAAAAGGGAAATTGTGCTGCTCTCTTTCAGTTGAAACCCTTCTGATGGTTAAACTGTGAAAGGGTTAACATCTCTCTGTTAATGTTTCTGTTTTATTCTAGTTGCTTTTATTCTGTATTGCACCCAGGGCAGATGCCTTGACGTGCTGCCTCAGCCTCCCTTTCTGCTGTGTTCTGCAAGCCAAAAATTCCTCCCATTAATTTAAAAAACATAAAAGCATTTTGCTCTACCTTAATGCTCAGTGCTATCATGCTGACACCCAGGTTAATAAGTTGACAATGAAGCTGGGGTTGAACCTGTAGATTAAGACACCTAAGCTTCAGTGTCTCCAGGTGATCTGAGTGTGTCAGCTTCCATTACAGCCAAATGAGATGTAGACAAGTCAGGGGAGCCCAGACAGTGATTCAGCTCACCCTGTGGGCTACATCTTCCGCTGGTAATTTATACAGCACATCTGAGTGTACCCAGGTACTGGAACTCGCTCATCCACACTATGAAATTGTTAGCACGCTCCCTGGCACGATTTTGGCCTGGGCCGGTAGCACTCTTTCAGACGTTGTTCAGACACAATTTAGACATTAGCCTGGGCCAGGAACCATGCCAAATACGCAGTTTGGATCCAGTTTGGATCCCAGTTGGAAGGGTGAGAGTATGATAGTGGGGACATATCCATTATTCACATCTTAGTCTCATTATCTACCTCTCATATGATGGCAGATGTGATGCAGGACTTGCAGACAACTGTCACCCTTGAAGTGGCAGCTCTAGACTTCGCAGGGTACCCCACAAGACAGGGCACTGGTGTTTGAGCAACTGAACCCTGTCCCTACTCACCACAGACCCCCACCTATAGACACCTCTTCACCCAGGACCTGACCCCATGCTCGGTGCCAGGGTGCAGGAGCAATGGCTCCTGCTCAGGGGTGCTTCTTGTCACCAGGCTGCTGGCTTGTCTTCCTTAACAGTCTTCCCAGGAGTCTCTTCCTGCAAAATTTCAGGTTGAGTTGTTTAATTACGGTGCTGAAAGCGAAAAGGAACAAGGGCTAGTTGCTAATTACTGACACGGAGCTACTTGGCAGCAGAGATGTTTACAATTTGATTGGGTGGATTAGTGTATTTTATGGATACCAGGTGCCTGGCTGCTTCATCCCTTCCCTTCTCACCCAGGTCCCAGGTCTCCAAATCCCTTCATCAGGACCAGGAGAAGGTGGCTGGGGAGGGAGGGAAAAATTGCTTCTAAGTGAATCATCTCCGTCTACTTGCAAGCCATTCTGCTAAAGAGCCTCGGTGGCTAGCAAATTCAGACCTACCTTTGCAGAGCACAGAAAGAGTGGTCCGAGAGTGGAACAGGCTGCCCAGGGAGGGGGGAGTCCCCATCCCTGCGGGGGTTTCAGGGCCGTTGGGATGAGCTGTGGGGGGATGTGGGGTAGGGGAGAACTTGGTAGAGTCGGGCTGAGGGTTGGACTCGATGATCCCGAGGGGCTTTTCCAGCCTGAGTGACTCTGGGCTGCCTGTGTGTGATTGTAACCCTGTGAACTCATGTCGATAAGCTGGTTTGGAGATGAGGATTATATCCCATTTCAGTTGAAGTCAGTAAAGCAACCTGTCTCTTAGAGCAGAGAGGGGCCTCTCTGGGTGAAGCGGCAGAGCCTCTGTACTTGGGCGCTGAGGGCCTGGGCTCTCCCCTCAGTGTCAGCCTGTGTTATTTGTGTGTGTGCACTCATGGATTAATTGTAAACCGATCGCAGAAGCAAGGGCTGAGCACTCTGCGTTGCCAGCGTAGCCTTATGTCATACAGTCCCTGGGGAGACATTGTTTGCCAGGGCTCCGGGAAAGGCACCGAAAAGGGGAAAAAGTGTTCCTAGCTGCGGATAGAGAAGGTGCAGCACCTTGAAAAGGGGAATCCGGTCCAACTGGTTGGGTTGCTGTAATCACATGCCAGGGGAGGAACTGGGGAGAAAGGCAGCCAAATGTAGGATGGGGACATGCTTGTTAATACTGGAAAAGAGACAAATTATGCCTACTTAACTACTTGGCTGCTGCTGAATGCAATGGAGAAGCAGCTGCGTGTTCCCATGCTCCTGATTGCATGGCGCTGGTTTAAATGGAGTTTCCCTTGCAGAGTAAGCACAGGCTGAGGATGCTGGGAGGAATTGCTTGATTGCAAAATCCGTGGCAGAAGGGGAAGGGTTAAATAGGAGCAAATATTCTGTCTCCTTGAAAGAGAAGCTAGACTTGCTTTGATTAGTTTGCTTAATCTCTCGGTGTGGAAGAGAATAAGCCAGTTACCCCCTTGTGTCTGGAACTTATATGGGAGAAATTTATCTTTGCAAACTGGTGATTGTGGATTGTTTTAATGAGAAGAGGATGAAGCTGTGATCATGAATGCGGAGAGTGTGCAGCAGAAGCTTTCCCCCTTCACCTCACAATGGAGAAAGCCTTTGATATCAAGCTGAGGGTGAGAAGGGAAGAGGCAGAACTTCCTCCGTCCCCCTCTGGTACATTTTTGTCTGATTCTACTCTGTTTCTAAGTCCCAAATCCAAAGGTCCTGCTTCAGTTTTTGCTTAGTACTCTGCTAAAGAGGTGGAAGTTATATGCAAAACAGGGATAGGAGGAAAAGGGTGTATTCCTTAATTCACTCTCTGTGTCTGAAAAGCCATGGACATTTGGGAGCTTTCTTCTCTTTGGCTTTTTGTCTCTGGGATCTCAGGAATGCCAATTCCACCCTGTATCCTTGCTGACCTTGAAAGTCTTGCAGAGGTGTCTGCAAGAAGAAGAGCTATTTACTTCTTTAGTGTTCATTCTCCAGTACTAGAATTAAATACTGACAAGTAAATATAAAGAAACAAAGAGTTCTTTAAAATTATCTGGAAAAAAATCCTTCTCAATTACATTTCATCTGCACAGTATATTTTAAACTATTATTCTGACAGTCCTCCACTTGAACATAAATTTGGGGGGGGAAACAGAGAAAAAAAAACCAATTGAATTTCTAGTTTGTTTGTTCTGAAAAGGAAATGAAGGGACATTGGACATTAAACCATTTACTCCTAATAAAAAAAATATATATTGGAAGAAATATACCCTTTTTCTTATTATTTTTAAATTTTGGAGGTCACATTTAAAGAAGGACTTCAAATACCCCTGGGGTTAAATGAATGTGCTGTGATTTGACCAGTGGAGAGCACGTTGTCAGCTGTGGAAAGTTGGCTTCAGGAAACAGGCTAGTGAAAGCAGGGCACGTGTTTTGGGGATGGCCAACGCGTGAGAAAGAAACCAGTGGGGAAAAGCAGTATTGCCCAGATTAGGGAATTCCCCAAAACGTTCAGTTTTGCCTTTGAAAAGAAGATGAGTTTGGGTCGAGGCTGCTCTTGCTGTGCTAGGAAGGAGGATGAAGTGGGACTTCTCCGAAGTCCGTATTTCGCCTCTGGAAGTTCATGTTTAACCGTATTTCACCTCTGGAAGTTCATGTTTAACCGTATTTCACCTCTGGAAGTTCATGTTTAACTGTCCCTGCTGTTCCTGCTGGGGATTCCTGCTGCTCCAGCCTGCAGCCGCCACCGTGGACTTCTGACATTTTCCTCCCTCCTGGCACTCGGCGCTGCCCTCGAAGCCAGGACTGCTCTTGCAGGTTTTGAGACAGATTGCACAGATTGTGGGGATGAGGTCAGTCTCCTCCCAGGAGATTCCTGCTGACGGGGCCCTTTCCAGCCTCTGCTATCAACACAAGTTAAACACCAGCCACCGCCACCATTGCTCCCACCCTGTTTACACAGCTCTGCCCCACTCCGCTCAACGCAGCGTTGTTGTTGCCATCATAGCAAAGCGATACATGCTTGTCTGGTTACCTAAGTGCTCATTTCTTCCCACAGCCGTTTCCATCCACCTCTTTAGATACCTGTCATAAGCGCAGAAATGCTGTGAAAAACCTTTGTTATCGTGCTGCGGGCTCTGCGCCGCAGATTTTCCTTGTGAGACATGGGCAGATGATTTGGTTTCTCTTTGCTCCTCTTCTCTGTGGTGGGGATTTCTCTCCCGTGCAGTGGGATTGTGAGAAAAAATAATTTTAAAATGGTGAGGCACTCAAATATTTCAGTAATAGGGGCCACAGAAGTGTCAGGATAGACGAGGAATCAGCACTGAACTCATTATAATTTGGGACCTGATCCTGTAAACACAAATCTGAGCCTCCTCCTTTCCATGAGCAAAGCCAGGTCTCGGAGCTGGTCCCAAGAGCAAAAAGTCTTGTGAGCATGAGTCTGTCCTAGACTAGGCCATCCTGGATCCTTTGAGGGTTATAAATCATACGTTTCGTGGCTTCAGAGTTTCTTTTAATGTAGCCTCTCCATTTGTTCCCAGTTCCTACGTGCTTTGCTCTTGAATGAGTCACCAGAAGCTGCTGCTTATGCACTTTCCCTTGCCTTAAATGTGTGCTTTATTTTAAGAAGCTGAATCTCCGGTTTCTCAAAACCTGAAACTCCTTTTTTCAGTTTGACAAGTGGACAGATGGTCAGAGGCGGAGGATCCTGGTGGACCTGTTGGAACGCTGCTCCCTGTCACAGCAGAAATTCTGTGCCAAACAGCTACAGGATCGAGTCCCCACTGAGGCTCTAGATTTTACCACAAGGCTTCCTAGAGTCCTATCTTTATACATCTTTTCCTTCCTGGACCCAAGGAGCCTCTGTCGATGTGCACAGGTAAAAAAGCCAACACATACCTAAAGTTTGGAAAGTCAGGTCAAGCTAGCCAAAAAAAAAAAAAAGGAAACAGCACCAATTTTCAGCAAAGACACACAAGTGCTGTTCTTCATAATGCGCTAATGCACGGCTGTCTTCTGACTTGGCAGCCTGGTGCCAGATGCTTAGTGATGCTTGTATGAGACCAAACGCAACACTTCCACACAACCTAAATTAAGCCAGATTGACCAAGATTTACAGAAGTGAAGAGTAATTTTAGATGCTCAGCTCTAAGACATTTAAAATGTAGCACTTCACAAGACTGATTCTTCACAAGAAGGACGCCTGGTACTTGCTGAAAATCACGTTCCTTTAAAGTACCTTGCACTGTGTGCAGAATCATTAATTGCTTCAAAAAGTATTGACTTGTGATAGTCACAAGGAACTACACACAAGGCTTTAGGAAGACCAGAACCTTTAAAATGCTTGGGGGTAAAGTGCTGGATGTGGAGAAGCAGAGAAATTACAGATGTGCTTTGGAGCACAGTGGCTAGGGCTTCAGTATTTGGAGCACAGTGGCTAATACTCCAAAACCACATTTGCTGAGGTAAAGTGCAGTGAGGTGATGCCCAAAGTAGTTCTGAATTAATAAGTTCAGATATTGGTGACATTATTACTGCCCTAACATAGCACTCCATGTCACACTATGAATATATCAAAATCTCAGTTTAAAGCTTGCTCTAGTATCTTTCTCCAGCATTTCATGTTTTATGTGGATGCAACTCACACTATTCATTCACAGGCAGGGAGAAGACAGGTTAGGAAATTGCTTACTTAGAAAAGAAGGTTTTTACAGTGCTACTTGTGTCATATCATTGGACAGCTGCTATTATAAACATGGCAGTGCCAAGAGATGATGTTTGTCCTTAAGCTGGAACAAGCATTGCACGCAAGGTGACCGCGTGATGGAGTATAACAGGAGAACATGAGTAAGTAGAAAATCTTAAGAATGGGTCTGTTAGACTTGAGGAGTTTATTGATGCTGTTTTCTCAGTGGAAGCAAAGGCTTTATTCCAACTAATGTATGCTTATTGAGTAGAAGTGCAGGAAGTTGCCCTAAAAAAGCTGAAAACTTTCCTCTTGGCCTGTGATTTTTGACATATTTCACCCTGTGCTGGAGATCAGCTAACACTTAGGCACTGAGTATGTCATGAAGACCTTGAATGGTTTAATGAAAGGTTTAAATGGAGCATAACTGTGTTCAGTTTTGGGCCTCTCCCTCCAAAAAGGCCATTGAATGACTCGAGCGTGGCCAGAGAAGGGCAACGGAGCTGGGGCAGGGTCTGGAGC